TGTGACAGAGGCTGCAGAAAAGGCTGAAGTTTCACATGCACACGCACACAGTTTCACAGTGTTCAATGCCTTTTTTCGCCTCAGTCTTCACAGGCAAGGTCAGCTCCCTGACTACTGCACTGGGCAGGACAGTTTGGGGAGGAGGTGAACAGCCCTCAGTGGTGAAAGAACAGGTTTGGGACTGCTTAGAAAAGCTGGACATGTACAAGACCATGAGGCTGGATGAGGTGCACCCAAGGGTGCTGAGGGAGTTGGCTGACGTGATTATAGAGCCATTGGTCATCGATCTTTTAAAACTCATGGTGATCAGGAGAGGTCCCGGATGATAGGAAAAGGGCAAACATAATGCCCATATTAAAGAAAGGGAAAAACGAGGATCCATGGAACTACAGGCCAGTCAGCCTCACCTCAGTCCCTGGAAAAATCTGGAACAGATCCTGGGGGAATATATTTCTAAGCATCTGGAGGAGAAGGAGGTGATCAGGAACAGTCAGCATGGATTCACCAGGGACAAGCCATGCCTGACCAACCTGATTGCCTTCTATGTTGAGATGACTGGCTCTGTGGATGCAGGAAGACTGGTGGGTGTGGTGTACCTTGATTTTAGCAAGGCTTTTGATATGGTCTCCCACAACATTCTCGTAGACAAGCTAAGGAAATACAGGCTGGATGAATGGACAGTAAGGTGGATAGAAAACTGGCTGGAGCATCAGGCTCAGAGAGAAATAATGGCTCAATGTCTAGTAGGCAGTCATTATCAAGGAGAGTGCCCCAGGGGTTGGTCCTGGAGCTGGTTTTGTTCAATGTCTTCATTGATGACTTGGAAAATGGTGTGGAGTGAACCCTCAGCAAGTTTGCAGATGACACCATGCTGGAGGGAGTAGAAGATAGGCTGAAGGGTAGGGCTAGGATTCAGAGTGATCTAGACAAATTGGAGGATTGGGTCAAAAGAAATCTTATGAGGTTGTTCTCACTTGCAGGGTGGTAAAACACTGGTACAGGTTACCCAGAGAGGTGGTGGAAGTTCCATCCTAGGAGGTTTTCAAAACCAGGCTAAACAAAGCTTTGGCTGGGATGATCTAATTGGGGATGGTCCTCTCTGAGCAGGGGATAGGATTAGATGACGTCCTAAGGTCCCTTTCAACCCTAACTTTCCATGAATAAGGTGTTTAAAAAAAAGTTTAGGTGTTCAGAACTTACGGTCATTAAAACCAGTCCCTCAAAACAACAGCTTTTCTTAAGGTTAATACATTTTATTGCAGTTTTTTTATGCACACAGGATTAAAGCAGTGCTTTCATAAGGCATATCCCCACCAGAGGAAACATGCATTCCCTGGGGACAACTAGCAGTGGTACATACATATATCACTGCTGGGGAGGCTGGGGCCAGTTCTTGGGTTGACTCCAGAAGCCTTACCTGGGGTCCTGGGGGCCTCCCAGGGCTCCAGCAGCAGTAATCTGGACGTGTAGATCTTGGCCAGCAGCCAGTGTGGCTCTGGCTGGCCACACTCCAGTTTCAGACAGTGCAGTCTGCTGCCACGTGCCACTGTGCCTTTTCTGGCACTGGATTTTTGACACTGGGGGATCCCAGAGTCAAAAGTCCCACTGTGCTGCAAATTAGCAGCGGTGAATGCCAGCACTGTGGTTTGCAGCATGACATACAGTCTGCAGTGCAGCAAACTGCACATGCATGCTCGCCTGGATGTGCCTATAATGCTCAAAATTACCTCAGTTGCTTGATACTTACCTAGTCTAGTTCATGGCACCAACTATCCCTTTCAGGAGAAAACATGTTAAAAATTATATTTCAAATAGAACTGGGATCTCCACATAGGCAGTAGCCAAAATACTTTCCACCCTGTCAGTTTGTATATAATCTAGGCAGCTCAAGGAGGCTATGTTGCAGCTGTTGAACCAGTTATTAGTTCAAATCTGAAGTTGGCCAGAAAGAATGGATAAGTATCTTACTACAAATTTGTCTCAATCAAAGATTTTTATTTTGGGAAAGTAGAATCTGGGTAAAATCTGAACTAGGATCTAGAGAACCTTGTCATTCGGGGGGTGCTAAGCTCTTCTTGGCACATAGAGACATTTTAATAATTTATCTTGTGGTAGGGTGAGCCTTCTCCCTGTACCCAGTATGAGCTAGCCTCCAGGAAAGCTCTCTTCATCTGCGTGAGGAATGGAGAGCAGGCATGGTAAAAGAATTTTGCCAGTCATGCAGTGCTGAGGAAGTGAGAATGGCCATGTTTGAGGTATATCATAGAACATTTAGCACTGGCACTAGGGAAGAGAGATGGGAGGACCTACTGCAATTCATGTAGCAGTTTACTGGTGTACCTGAGAGCTGCTGTTTCAGGCTGCATTAATACATGGGAAATTCTCACTCAGCTGAGATGATCATACTGAGATGAATGGCCACTTCACATGGCTCTGAGAATGTTTTTCAAGTTAAAAGGTCAACTTGCCTAACTGCTGTAAAATCTTTATTCTTTCTTGGATTTATTTGCGACTTAATTCAGGGGAGAGGGGAGTATCCAAATATGGGGTTATTTGAGCTAGGAGTTTCAAGACACAGTCCTTCCAAAACCAGCGTTTTTTAAGATTGACAGAGGCTGCATTTACACAAGATGCTGACTGCGCCATTGTTATTGTTAAACAAGTACTAAATGACTGCGTAGTAACTGAAGTTACTCCACAGTAGCATCATCAAATGGCTTTTAGGTGACACCGATTGTGCAGTAGCTCGTTATTGTTATGCAGTAGTGTTGCATCATGCTTTGTGCTATGTGACTCTACTGCACAATAGTAACGAGCTACTCAGCCTGTCTCAGCCCCTGTCCCTGTTTACTTCCATGTGGAAGTCGTGATCTGTGAGAGGCTATGCCATTATGAGTGGATTGCAGCCGTTCTCTCTGCTGTTTCATGCACAAAACTCTCTGCAATATAAAAGGTAGTCCACTTGGATTGTAGAAACTGGATCCTTATTTCAGTGCACTATATTCAGTGCTGCTGTTTTGCAGCCATGTGGTGCATTGTAGTCAGTATTACTGCCTACTTCCCTTAGAACATGGAGCTTCCTGAAAGCTTATTGGTGTCACTCTCCAAATTACCCCTCCTACAACTCCTATTCCAACCTGTAGGGAATCTCTATGAATGTTCAGGATCTGGAGAGAGCAAGCCCTCTTCTGGTATGGTCTGAATTCATCTCCCTACTCCCAGTGTGAACTGGGATTTGGGGGCCTAAATTTACACCTCTGAAAATCAGGCAACACAAAGTTAAGGTACCTATATGTGGTGGAGGAATTGACTGCAGATAGAGGGGGCTCACATGAAAGAGGTGCTGATTAATTGGGCCAGGAAGAAGAAAGGACAAGAAGCCTAGTTGGCTTTAGAACATAGTGGGAAAAGAGGGTCTTGTTCAGGATACAGCTTAGGTTTTATAATCAAGGAAGCATGTGATCTTTCAGTAGACTGTTGCTTATGAGATATATATGCAGCAACTGAAGACACTGACAACAAGAAGCAACCTTTTTACTTGCTACTGGCTTAAGGGGATTGGATAGAAAAGGTAGGATAGAAACTGAAGAGGAGTGACTTGTATGTTGTGGGGGAAGGTAGAAGTCTGTAGGGGAAAAATACTAAAGCAGTCTTCTCTCACATGCTTAGAGTTGCTTTAACTACACATAATAACATTCCCAGCATTTTGAGACTGAAATCTGCTAGTGAGTTCTTTGGCTCTAACAACTGTACAATCCAGAGATTTCATGGTATGATCCTAATCACCATTCCACTGCAACACCGTACAGGACAGGGGAGCAGCATTTAGGAATTGCATAGTATCTTGTAGTATACATAAGCATATATATATCATAAGCATTACGCCACAGGAGTCTCATTTGCAAAACTAGGTGGTATACAAATCTGTAAATGATTAACTCCAGTAAGAAAAAATATATAATTTAAAAAACCTTAAGAAAATCATTGACAGAATTCTTACCTACCGGAGTTAAGGATCTTCAGTGATAGCTATGCTCTTCCAGAATTTCAGGTTAAGTTAAATGCAAAATCTGTAAAATGAAGAAGTACAGACTTAACCACTCAAACATTACAGTGCCATTTTTGAGTGTTAATATAGCAACTATTACTCTCCCTTTGAGCTGTACTAAACTGGAGCTACATATATATAACTGGTGTAACAATCAAATTCTTAGTGTACTCCATAAAAAATGCTACATTTGGAAAATTTTACAACAGTTTCACACATATCATAGCCCCTTCACTTACCCACCATTAAACTCAAAGCCCACATTTACCTCCTGCCCAACTGTTTACACTCCCCATGGTTTGAAGATGTTTGTGACCTGCTACTGACATAACCTACATAGTTCATTACTGAAATGAAGCGTACTAAATCTCTTGAGGTACATGTTGCTTTTAATCCCACATGCAGAGGTCACACACATGGAGATCAGGCATACAGGCTTATCTTCCCTGTCACTCCCTAGACATATGGCCCATCCAGGTAGCATTATATAATAACAAGCTCTGTCAAGCAAATGGCATTTCAATTGATCCCTTTGCTATCAAATATAGCCCACTTAGCCCAGCACAGTGAATACAGCTGGAGTGCTTGCAGATAATTTCTTTTAGCTGTTGGCAGCTCTCTGGGGACAAGGCAAAGATTAAATAGATGTGTACTTTAAATTAGTATATTTTGGAACTTCAAGCAATTAAGTTTATCTGAACTTGTCATTTGGAATCACAAAATAGAACTGGACAAACTTCCTTTTATGCCATCCAGGACCATGGAGTGTTCTATGTTAGCTGAATGTCCATTCAAATAAACCTCCCATGTGGGAAAGATTACTATCTACATTTAATCTACATTAAATCTCCTAAAGTGGTTGAAGTATTGAGTAGGATTTAACTTTTTTTTTAGGTGGATTCAAATATTAAATGTCAAACCAATACATCAGAGACGGTTGTCTCTTCAGAACAAATAGGATTCCTTATTTCAGAGGTGGGGCCAGTGAGCAAATCTGCCAAAGACACAGTTTCATCCATGCAAGCCAGATGCAGAGAAAGAAGAAGCGGTTCACAGAAGGGCAAGTCCCCTGGTAAGAGTTAGTCCCTAAGTTTTGAAGCTGTATAGTTAAGACAGTGGAATGGAAATAATTATACTGGCAATGTAGTAACAACTAGGGCTGTGTGAAATGGGCCCTATTTGATTTGCATTTGGCCCAAATCGGGTACAGTGATTTGATCCGTTGGTTCAGATCTCTGTCCCTGATCCGGAGAATCAGTGATTCGGACACAGGCACAGCTTTAAAACTCTTTTCTATGTACCTTGAGGTAGCAGGCACAGCTCATGATCACTGTGGTACTGGGGCTCATGGAGCATCCCACAGGAGCACAGGGGGCTCTCCAGCGTGCTCAGCAGTGAACCTGGAAGTAGACCGGAAGTACTTCTGGTCCACTTCTGGGTCTGCCAGGGAGTGCGCTGGGGGCTCCCCCCATACCTTCCCCAGCTTGGTGATCAGCCGCAGGGGGACCCCAGGTGCCCCCGCCCCAGACCCAGGAGGTACCAGTCACCAAGCTGGGAGGGCTCCCCCACATGCTCCCCAGTGGACCAGCAAGTGGACCAGAAGTGCTTCTAGTCCACTTCTGGGTCTGCTGCTGAGCGTGCTGGGGAGCCCCTGTGCTTCTGTGGGATGCTGCATCTGCCCCAGCACTGCAGCATTCAGAGCCCCAGCTAGCTAGAGGTATGTAGAAAAATCATTTAAAGCTGTATCTATGTCCAAATCCCCGAATCTCTCTGAATCGATTCAGAGGGCTCTGAATCGATTTGGAGGGATTAAAGCGTCCTCTGATTCAATTCGCATTCGGAGATTTGGCCATCAAATGGGGCCGAATCTCTGCCGAATCAAATCAGGGACTGAAGCTTTGCACAGCCCTAGTAACAACCATACCAAGGCAAAAGTGCTTGTCCCTGTATTGCTTATTCCTGTATGAGAAGGACATATGCTATACCAGTAAGCCAAGTTTTGAACTTGGCCCTCTTGGTCCAAAAGCTTGAATGTCAAAGTGCTGAGCAGAAGAGACAGATGCCAGTGCTCCAAGACAGGCATTCAATTGTTGAGATGAGCACTGAGTTAATAAAAACAGGCTCTGGCTGAAGTGGTTACTAAAATGCCAAGACAAGGGCTTGGTTGTCAAACTGCCAAAGTAATTGCTGAAATTAATTAGAAAAAAAAGCAGCAAAGCATCTGTGGTCAAACTTCTTGCAAAATGTAATAACTTAAAAGAAATTTAAATTTAAGTAAAAGGCTTTAGCACAGAAAAGATTCATGGTATGCTTTGGAGTGGTTCTGGGGAACAGCCAGGATGGTCACTAGGAACATGCAGTTCCTGCAGGAGGCTTCATCTCATGTTGGTCAAGAAGCAACACTTTAATTGGAAGGTTCCAAGGCCAGTAGTGAAGGACAAGTGGGGGTGGGGGGGATTAGTTTCTAGCAGGTTGTGACAGTTTATGCTATATACATGAAATCCCTACTCTTTATAACAAAACTTATCTGAGTAATAAGGAATGTTAGCCTGCCTCTTGACAGCAAAGTGATACCCACTCTTGGGTTTCGTAGAGATTGTTTTCAGAGAAGAGGTTCTGGTTAAAGTACAATACCGAATTCTAGCTTCATTTTGAAGCTCACTCGTATCCTACCTGTTAACACTGGGAAATTGATTTCTGTGCTTGAGTTTCCCTATGCATAGAAAAATGCTTATCTGATATGGAATATTGTAAGGATTTTTTTTTTTTAAAGAAAGAAAGGACTACCATTTGTGTTTGGAAACTCGTTGTTGGGAAAGTGGGGTGGTCACCAAGGTCTGATCAATGTTACCAGTATATCCTTTTAGGGCTGGTGCATCCAAAGTTTCACCAGTTTAATACTTAGATTTCATAGATAGATTTCTAGGGTCAGAGGGACCTGGGAGACCATTGGGTCTGACCCCTTGCTCCAGGCAGGAAAGAGTGCTGGGGTTAAGTATCCCCAGCCAGATGCCTGTCTAATCTCTTCTTGAACACCTCCAAGGTAGGGGAAAATGCCACCTCCCTTGGAAGCCCATTCCATATTTTGGCAACCCTTACCGTAAAGGATACTGTGAGATCCATCTTTTGTTTTGTTTTGTTCTGTTTTAAATTGACCTAGTTAGATCAGAGTAAGAATGTGTTTGAATACTTCCCCCCTTTAACTTGTCTACTCTCTGTTTAGCTTGTAAGGAAAACCAGTAGTCTTGAAATGGACAGGACCTAAACAGTTTTGTCAATTAAGCAGTTAAACAGAGACCAGTTGTAAAGTAGCAGTGGGACTAAAGAATGCTTATGTAACCCAGCAAACCTATGCATTTAACCAGTTTATGCATTGGACCAATAGGAAGATAACTAAAGTTTGTTAATAATGTAAGCAACAGGCAAAAAGTTGGGATAGGTATTGTTTTGTACAGTTCAGTGAATTATGCATTTATCTGATATGCACGCAAATGTAGATGTATAAACCTGACTTATACTGATATAACCACTGATTTTAAACCAATTGCAAGTGTCTACAAAAACATCTGGTATTAGTTTAACTAAATTATTTTAAAATAACACTTCCAGTTCGAATAGTGGAACATATATATTTATTCAAACCCTGGAAAAATAGTGTACCAAACGTAACATGAGTTTTTATAGTTTCTATAGCTGGAAAGCATATGTATTGTATCTGAATGTGAATAAACAGCATACCAGCCATTAAGGAATTTCTACAATCTCAGATCTACGTACCTGCACTGGGAAGTCATTCTATGTGATTTCCTGACAGGAAGTAGTCAGCAGTTAAAAATATTTAAAAATTTCCATTTAGGTAGTCTTTTCTCCTTCAGATCAGCCTTGATTTTTTTTCTTAGGGAGAACCATTTGCAGCTTTTGCTATCCTCAGCTAAATTACTTGAATTCCAAGAGCAAGTTTTTCCCCCACAGCCCATGAGTTAGAGATTATGGAAGAGCTATGCCAAGAGCACACTGTACTTTGGGTATCCTTACCTGGCAGATGACTTGGGTATTTCTGCCAGCTAGCACAGATTAAAGTAACTGAAGCTGAAGATGAAGATACACAGGCCATAGCTGGTATAGAAGGCAGCTGCTTGAGTGCCTTACCCGTACTTAACTTAGGCTTTTACAAGCACAGTAGGTTTGTACTCAAGTGCCTTCAGTGGCTCCCACACAGTTTCTGATGCCAATTTAAGCCTTTGGTCTTAATTTTCAAAGCAATTTATTGATTGAGCCTCCAGTTTATCTCAAAGACCACATTTTCTGCATTCCTATTGGTTAGTACAGATTAAAAAGCCCAGAATGAAACATATGAGAACTGAGCACAAAACATTCTTAATAAGAGAGCCTCCAGCTGTGGAACAGATTTTCAGGGGAGATCAGGTGATTCCAAAGTCTATCTTTAGGACAAATTGTGGACCAACCTGTTTTGACAAACTTCTTCATCATTTGTAATCTATTAGTATAGTGATATTCTCCTAGGTTCCTATACACAGTACCAAAAAAGAAATAATATCCTTTGAAAGAAATCTTTTTAAAAAAATCACTAAAACCTTATGCAGAACACAGCAGGAACAAAGGAATGAAAGGGACTTCCCCTTTTATTATTGTGTATAGTTCTCTGCCATTATTGGCACTACATATAAGTCTTTTGTAAGTTTAGCAAATACTGCCCTAAAATAGTTATGTTTTATTTTCATATGACCATGTAATTAAAGACTGAGTTGTAATGTCACATATAGAGTGACACTAAGATTATATAGTGATTGATATTTTCTGTTTTTTTGAGGCTAATAGTAATTGACCATAGTCACATAGCATATACTAGCTACAAGAAGCATCAGTTTTTTGATACATAGCAAATATCTCCACGAGATGTATTCATTTATATTTTTATTGTGTTTTTTGCTTCTTAAAAAAGGGACATTCTGGGGTTGGTTCTATTTTGTTATTTACAGTACATTTTTATAAAACTCGAGATTCAGGCAATGCCCGATGTTACTCATACAACCTTAACTTTGTCCTTTTGCATTCAATACAGAAGTCTGTAACTACATGGTCATAATTGATCTGCTCTGCCTGACTTCTGCCACAAATAGCTTGTGGGTTGAATGTTACACAATGGGCAAGGCAGGAATAAGTACTGCATGAGGAAGAGGTCTTCAATATCTGGACCATATTTTGGTTAAGCTGTATTTTCTGTCTTGTATATTGTAGGAGGCAAGGTGCCCATGACCCACTGCCTCATTGCACATGCATGCATTTTCATGCATCATTACTCATGAATGTGTATTTATGCTTATTTAGAATCAGCCAGGATGTGTCATGCCTTGTATTAAATGAATTTTTTTAAAAAATTGGAAGCAACTTATGCATGACCAGTTACTGATAGGACTATAAGATTATCTTAAAAACCTGTATTGTATATACAGGAAAATCAGCACTTGTGGGAAGTACCTATTTTAATTAGTGACTTAAATCATCCAAAATGAAATGTATCAACCACTGAAAAGTACACGTCTAATTTATTGTCTCGGCCAAGTGTTAGGTTTATAACCCAAGCTACTCTGAAGCAGGGGTGCTGAACCTCCAGCCCACAAGCCAAATGCAGCCAGGGTATCCAGCCCATTGGGCTCCCCACAGGTCAGATAATTTGGCAGTGGGGGAGTGGTGGTGATTAATACAGCCACCCTTCCCCGCTGCTGAATTCCCAGACCCCAAGCCCTGTGTGGTGGGTCGGGGCCAGGCCACGTCCCCTTCCTCCCACACAGCCAGATTGGAATGGAACAACCCCCGCATTGGATCAGGGCCAAGCCACAACCTCTTCCCCTGTGGCTGGTTCAGGGCCAACCACACCCCTCCCTTCCCTCTCATGAGACCAGGCTGGGGCTGCATCCAGTCCCTTTCCTTCAACAGAGCCAGGTTGGGATCCTAGCATGACCGCCCTGGGTGTCAGTTTGTGACCAGTAGTCAGCTCTGGCCTGTGGACACACCAGGCACTGCCCACCTTACTGAGCAGCCAAAAAGGTTGAGCACCACTGCTCTATCTAGAGCTGTTTAAAAGACTTGTCTTACATGGCAAAATTGTGTCCGTTTCACTCACTGCATATGACTGGAGTGTTCATTCTCAAAATGTCCAAATATTCATTCTTGAAGGAAGAGAAGATCTGGAAAGTTACTGTCTCTAACATGAGTTTTTTACAATAATTTAAGCAACTTGGAAACCCATTGCAGAATGAAAGTGCCATACTCACTCCCTCACACACATGGCTTCATCTTGGATAGGCCTTCTAAACTTGTGAGGTCACAATACAGGTTTCCTCACAGCTGCTCACAAGCAACTTAAGGGTAGATACTAAAGCTAACATTTGCAAAAGTGGTGTTGGGTTTTTAGCTACCTAACCTGTGATACATTGGGTATGATTGTCCCAATTGCTGTACTTTAAGTGACTTTGGATGAAGTTAGGGAAAATAACTTCATAGCAAGTCATTGACTCAATTCAGACTCCATCTCTTTGTTACCCTGGGCCTAAGGATCAACTGAGACCAGTCATCTTGACTCAGTCTATAGAATTAATGGGAGTGTTGTTAGGCTCCAGATTACCTACCATTGTAGTGTTTTCAGACTGTAATAAACTTCATCCTCTAGCCCTTTGTACATTCCCAAATACCATTGCTTATGTGCCCCAGTTGATGGGTCACATTGTAGCATGGGCCTTGGGCCAGGTAGTTTTGGTACTTAGAACTGGTAAATCTCTTGGTTACATATCTGTCTTTTCTCAGTAGAGTTTCCTAGAGCAAAGGCCAAATGTCACATCCCACCCTGGCTTCATTCCACCTGGCAGATAGGATGCTGGCTAGAGGACCTCTCAAAAGGAAAATACTGGGCTGTTGTTCTTCTGCAAAGTAGAAAGACCTCTGCTAGACTGACTTATGTAAAAAAGTAGAAGAGATTCTCTATAGCAGTGATTCTTAACCAGGATGCCATGATGGGTAGACACGATTCATAAGATAAACCCAGAAAGTTTAAATAGGAATCCATAGTGTCAAAAAATTCTGAGTTGTTGTGGTCTTTCTGAGTTCTGTGCAACAAAAGAATTGCTTTATTATTTTTTCCATAGTCAAGAAATGAGTGAAAGCTAAGAACCAGTGCTTTCTGAGGGATGCCTTGGGTCTAAAAAGGTTAAGAATCACCTAGTATAGGCAACTTTGCAACATATATCTCTGCTATCTGTTCCCTAAGGAGACTGGGGGGGTTAGTTCCATCTGATGATCATCCCTGCATGTCAGCCAGTGGGTTCATGGCCATGTTGTTTTCATACTCTCTGCAAAGTCAGATTTCCTTATGAGCTTTTTCCATATTTTGTACAATCCATCCATAAAGCTGTAGTTGTCTATACACATGCTCATTGGCATTCTAATTAGAATGCTTGATTAATCAAGCAGATTAATCGAGTCTGTTCTGTGTTCTAATTAGAATGCTGCAGCATCACTTCAGTGTCACATGTATTAAGCCCCCATGTGTTTAAAAACGGCCGCAGGGTTTAAATAAACCTCATCAATGTCCCATGGCCATTTTTAAATGTGCAGGGCTTAATACACATGATGCTGTGGTGTTTTAATTAGAGCAGATGCCTGGGAACTGCTCTAATTAAAACACCTCCCCCTCCGCCCCCCAACACCTCTGATCATGTGTATTGGCAGCCATAAATATCTGTCCATAAAGTTGGCATTTGTAGTGGCTATTACCACAGCAAGAAGTAGCAGCAAAATACAGGACATTATTGCAGGGTCCTTCATTCACTGCTTTTCATCAGGATAAGGTCACCCTTAAGTTCTGTCCCATATTATTGCCTGAAGTGGTCTTGAATCTTTGAGGTTCTGTTTGATGAAGGAACTTAATGATGCTTGTAGCTGTTCTGTCCTTTGTCATCTGTGATAAACTGAGAGGTATGAGAACTGCAGGCATGGCCGTAATGGAAACTTCTGTTAAAAATAAATCTGACCTCACATATATGTGATTTGCACAGATTTAGAGTGGATCCATGTGGACATCAAACTTAAAGATCCAGTGAGTTACTGTATGGCAGAGGTGTCAAACTCATCCAGCCCCCAGGTGAGGGTTGCTGGGTTGGTTTGAGGGCCAAGCTGGGATTGACCTCCTGGGCATGCAGCACAGAGAGTTGATCTGGGATGCACTCTGCATGTGGCAGCCTGCCCTTTGTGCTGGTTCCAGCACCACTTGATTTGGACCAGCCCTGGAACTAGCTCTCAGATTTGGTCCAGCAGGGCACTACATGCACTGTGTCCTCCAGACTGACCCCTGTGCTACGTGCAAGGCACACGGAGCCGGATCTAGCCTATATACCACGTGTGGCACACAGGGCCAGAATTGGCATGTTGGGTCAGTCCAGCAACCCACAGACCAGATCATATGATTCCACAGGCCGGATTTAGCCTGCAGGCCTTACGTTTGACATCCCTGCTGTCTGGTAAATAGTTGTTGTTTCCTTTTGTCCCTCACAGATAACAAAGGAATTCCACTTTCCTTAGTAGCAACTGGAGAAAAAAAACTTGTTTCCGAATACTCTGTCTGCACTGCTTCTAAGTGAGCAGAATGGTCCCCAGTGTTTGTGCCAGTAACTGGGATACATGATCAGCTGTTCACTCTGTGCTTTACAGAGGCATTTGCTGAGGCAGTGTTGAGAAACTTTCCAGAGCAATGACTTTAGAGTGGTTACCACATTGAGCTACATGGGGATAGTTCATATTTTTAGGGATCATTTCAGGTGGTTTACAGACTTCACTAACATTATACTTGGGTCACATCTGTAAGATTTTCTCCCCAGTCTAGAAATTACAAGTATGAATTTCTGATGTAATCAGATGACTTCAGGAGCTGGGGTGCTAGGCATCTGTGTCGTTTAATCTAGCCCTGAAGATGAAGACAGAGTGTCTGTACTCTGGAACCACGTGTTCCAGAGAGGAGCATTGGTCCATTTTTCCAAAATTAGTTTCATTTCAGGACACTTAATTGCTGCTTTTGAATGATGCACATTCTGCTATCCCATTGCCCACTGTTTGTATGAGGGCTGGATTGTAGGAGGAGACCAGGGAGCACATTTTTTAAAGGACTACATTCTGTTAATTAATAAGTTCTGCTGCATTCCAGTCAGTTGTGAAGTATTGCTTTACCTCAATGCAGATTGATGTGTGAGAGAGAAATAGCATTTAGAGATACCATGGGTGACTGGTGCCTCCTGAGACTGGGGGGGTTACAGTTTGTGGGTGTTGGCAGCAGGGTGGCAAGTGGCAACCACCTGCAGAAGGTGGTGGTGGTGGGGGGTGACAAGTGGCATGCCCCTGCCCAACCAGTCGCCTATGAGAAATGCTATGGCAGTTTTAAGACTGATGCTGTAGCCATAATGCTCCAGGGAATATATAAAAAGGAAAGATTTTTGTGGGTGATATTTTTTTAGTGGACCTACTACATGGTTAGGAGAGATTTAGACAAGCTTTTGGGTATAAGGCACCCTTCTTTAGGTCTAAGAACCTGAAGAAGGGGTGACCCATATCTGGAAGCTTGTTTAAATCTTTCCCAACCATGCAGAGTTGGTACAGTAAAAATATCACCCACAAAAATCTTCATCTTTTGCATTTGAGGATAATGTTTTTTATGTCTGAAAAGATGCTAAATTTGAATAATCAGTATTTCTGAGCAGTGGCCATCAAACTCCTGAAGTAGTATGCTTGGCTGCATTTCACATCAGCAACCAAAAAGCAGAAGAGACTTGAAACCATGAAACTATGAATGGAGGTAGGTAAGAAGCAAGTGAAAAGGGGGAGCTATATTAAATAAATACATCCTCTTCTTCCTAGATCTCCATCTGCTGGTAGATGTAGCTTGCAAGCAGGAGCACTTTTCAAAGGAAGAATTAAGAGAGTAAGAAGTGGGTGACAAGTATGTGAAAATGTGCCTCAGCTGCCAGCTGGGTTCTCTGTTTCAGTCTCCAGTGGTAGTGCTTAGCACATACTGCACTTTGATTCTCTTCAACTGTGTTAAAAGAATCTTTTCCTTTACTCTCATTGTGAATTTATGGGGAATTAGTTATTCCATTGTTTACGTCACTTTAGTTATGTTTTTTACCTTGACACACTGTAAAACATCTAGCGGCCAAAGTGTTCAGAATAAAGTAATTATTCAGCTGCTCAGGCTCAATGGAAAGTTTGGCTCTGTATAAACAGGAAGCCTCTGTAAGACATTTGTACTGGGGAGTAAGTTTTTTTTTTAGTTCTCTTATTTGGAATTGCTGCAGTTTTCATTGCTGGAAGCTAATCAGAACAGACCTAGTTTGGTGTTCTCCTCATCTCTGGGAATCACATTGCGTGCTTTAAAGGGAATTGTATGAGAAACAAAAGCACTGGGAGGTCACAAGATTCCAGGTCTGAATGGCTCAGGGATTCTAGGAGAGCAGCTGTAAGACAGATGACCTAATTTTCTCAGTGATTCACTAGGAAATCCTCTTCCTAATCTCCTGCTCTGTTTCAATGATAAGCATGTCCCACTGGTGAGCATCCTTCAGCCACTATAGCCGCTGGATCTTTTACAATAATGGAGCATTCTTTTGTCTTAATTATTTCCTTTTGATTTTAGTGATAGCTGTAATGGTAAGTAAGCTGTTCTTTTAATATATTGGCTCATTTTAAATAGGTCTTTGCTGGGCATTGTAAACTTGTTTAATGTAATCCTATTTATACTGACAGTAGAGCTAAGGTTTTTTAACACCTATGTATCTGTATTAGTGTTAAAGTATTGGCCAAAGAATAAAGGATGCATGTGCAATATTTATGTTTCCTTAGAATATATATGAATAAAGCAGCAATAAGAAAATGCAACTTTAATTGCCTTGTGCCTATTCACATGCCTAGTCAGTTCTGTCTAATTGTGAAAACAAGGGAAAAGATAAGTTATTAGACTATTTATTTATCACAACCTGAGATGCACTTTTCTAAATGTTGTTGTTGCTTATAGCTGTGCTTCATGTGTCCCAGATGAAGTTTGGGTGGTAGGATGAACCATACCCAAATCTTGAAACACCTACCAAGGCTTCAGATAAAACAGCTGAAAACTTGAGTGCTTGTGTGTCTTGGTACATTAGCAGTTTCATTACCATACTAAACTTTCACAAAGCTTCCATTTTAAATAATTTATTATGTACTCAGTGGGTGCATCTACATGAGACACTAAATGTGCAGTAGACTAATTTTATGTGCATTAGCACAGCACACAAAAACCGTGCTAATGCATAGTAGAATTAGTCTACTGCTCATCAATGTCACAAAAAAGCGTGCACCAGCATGATGCACAATAGTGTTAAATACAGCACGTTAAGTTAGTACCTGTTATTACAAGTACTAAAATTAATTTGCTGTATTTATGGTGCATTAATGAACATGTAGATGCACCCATTACGCTTTCAGAGGTCAGCTGCCTTAATATTTTGAGTCAGGTGCCTATTCCCAGGCCCTGTTGTTAAATGTGTATGTATGGAAACAATAGGGAAAAAACAAGGACAGTCAAATAGTTAAAGGGAAAAGATGCCCAGTGCTACAACAGGAAGACTATAATCCAAGTCTGGTTTTGGTGGTCCTTAGTTGACAGGGCTGGGGACTGATATAGAGGGTGCAGTGGGAAAAACCATTAGCCTTACTACTCTGTTGAAGCTTCTGCTATTAAGAAAATAGTGATAGGCATTGAGGAGAATCGTGTCCAGTCTAGTTTTTCTGACAGTGCAATGATAGAGATGATTGAAATTTAGCATTGACAGACTGAACCTCACTCTTATTCAATAACTGAAATACAATAAAGCTTCTTATCTTCACTTCTTCAGTCCTGTCTTTCATGAAAGAACACAAAGCTCTTTCTGAGATATGAGTCAGGCAGCCTTTGTATGGTTTAAGATTCTTTTGCTTCAAAGATTAATTACAAAATCTTAGCATTAGCTTTACATATAATACCATATATATTATATTTTATTATATAGTATATAAAATACCAATTAAGAAGGCTGTAGAGCTGGATCTCCTACCATACCTCCCATGCACAATAGTATGATCAACCAAAACTCTCTTTTTCCTTAAGTTACTCTTTTGGGCATAATGTGGGGCACATTCAGTGGCTTAAAAATAAATCTAATATTGCACAAGGCCTTACAAGTCTCAGGTAATCCTCCAGACCAAACATCTTGGTATTGCAGCACCTTTAGCAGGAATGTATTTCAGTCAGTAAATAATAAAATGTAACTACTCCAACAAGGTACTGCTTTCTTGTTTAACTGCTTTCTTGTTAGTAGGAACAGCGTGGAGCTTGGTTTAACACTAAGGTGTAAAATTATAGCAGCACATGCAGTTGGTGGTTCCAGTAACCTATAACTAAGGTTATTAAAATGAAATGGATGTTGCATTTATGTTCTCTGTGTGTATTTTACACTTTAAATGGCATATGTATCATATTTTGAAAATAAATATTTAGTGTATGAATAGTGCCGGATATCATCTTTATGTTTTAAATAATCATTTCCCCACTGACTTTCAATATTTTAGTGTAACTTCATCAAGTTAGATGGAGTATAGGGATGAATTTGGTTGAACATGTATCCAAAACACCATTATTCTGTCATATTCTGGAGGGCAATTCCTTTCTCCTAAATACCATGATTGATAGAGGAATATTTATAAATGCTGAAATCACAGTTTAATGAAGAAATGACCGAATAGATGGTAGGTTTTCAGTATATGACATACTGTTCTTTGTATTAAATTCTGGATCTTCTCATCAGCCAGATCCATCACGTCAAGTTACAAACTACTTCTTGCAACCTTACTTTGAGGTTATAGGTCTGACCCATAGTATTATTCACCTCCCAGTGGTGTCAGAGTAGAATAACAGTTGAATTCCAGACCTCTGACATCAGCATGACCTGAAACCTCCTTGCAGTAGCAACTAGAAAGGGGCTACTGAATCTAAATTAGCAAGAGCTGAAGAAAGGCTGCGCGTGAAATGGACAGAGCCCTTCCCAGGGCTGGAGACATAAGGCTGCAATAAATCAGTTAATGTTATAGAGGGGAGTTGCTTTAGATGCTGGCTAGGTGCCATTCAGAGTGCCATGAGAAGTCTGGGAAAGAACTTGAATTCACTTTGATAAATTCCCTGCTTCATTTGTTTATTGATCTGACTTTTCATTTTATGTTGTTGTATTTTTTATTTTTATCTTTACTGCCTTGGGCACAGGCTTTGCTTTGATGTCAGTTTGAAAGACCAGTGAGTGACCCTAATTTACATGTGATAGCTTAATCGGAGGTTAGTAAGGACTGTGCTTGTTGAATGCAGTTAAGCAGAGGATCAGGAGAGGGAGTCCAGGAGCTCAGAAAACTAGACATTGAGGGGGTGGGGTTGTTCCTGCTAGCTGCTCCACCCTCACTTTGTGTCAGCAGGTAGGGAGAGTGCTTGCAGTCCCAGGGGAGGGAGGCAGAGAGCTGGGAACACAGAAACTCCAAACCACGGTCTTCCTCCAGGGAGTTGATCTGGAAGGAAAGCTCTTCCACGACTTTGGCTGAATTTTTCAAGTTCACTCCGCAACTGAGAGTCTCTTTTTTCCTTCTGGGATTTGTTGCTGGTTTTAGAATGATAGCAGCTTGCCTGGGTTTACTGCTGGATTGCTGCTGATGTTCCAGACTTCGCTTTCTTTCTTACTTCCTACACTTACAGCTCATAATTTTGTGTGCTGTAGTGAGAGAAGAAATTTCTATTTCAAGGGAATTTTCAGAAATACTTTTGGATTCTTCCTAAAACTCTTTAGATTATATCTGGAAAGTTCATTTTTAGCCATGCCTGGCCCCAGGAGCTTTCAGGCGGTTGTATATTTCTCCCTTTGATCCTCTTGGATTCCCTTTCAGGTGGAGAAATTCCTCTAGCATCTGCCTGCCTAGGGCATGTGTATACTTTTTTTCCCCCACCCGGCAAAGTAACAGACTGGTTAAAAAAGACAATTTTTATTAAGCTCTTGAGACTTGTTTTTGTCCAGGATTTATAGAAACATTTCCATCTGTTTCAACCCCTGTGGATTGCTGCAGGCAGACTGCTCAACAGGTTTGCAGACTGATTTTTTAAAATCCCTTTTTCCTGAAGAATGAACAGTGTAACCGATATGTTTTAGTTGCAGAATTTCCTTCCATTCTCTGCAGTTATGAAGACTCCTTTTTTTTGGTGGAACTTTGGATAGTCCATGGAACTCTATTTCTTAGAACTAGTAGTTTGTGTTAAAGATTGTATTAACATGTGCTTGAAAGCAGTGATAACTGATTGCAAGTGTGAATAGGACTAATAGGAACCAAAAAACGGCATATTTGTACCTTTTTCTTTGGAACCTATACCTAAACTTTGAGTGTTTGGAGACTTTGACTTTTACTTTTTAGGAATTTGAAAGCATCTTGAGAAGTCTTTCATTCCATTAATCAACAATAAGAACTGGTAATCACAGGCTTTATAGCTTAATAGATTCAAAAGGCAAGTTACTGGAGGGTCCCTATTTTTTTATGCCAGACCAAGAGAATTAATCTTGATTCTCAAGCTGAAGTGAGTGAAGCATTTCTGACAGGAAAGGGAATGGCAAAAATCAAATAGAATTGGAGGAGAACAACACAGTAGGAAACTTTCACCCCTTTCTTTTTATTTAAATTAAACTTTAAAGCTACTGCTATAGTAGCTGAAGGGAGAGAGCCCCTTTAGTATTATTGTTTAATATGTGGAATTGATGGAGGACACTGATAACTATAATTAATGCTAAATCAAAACAGATTGTGCTTTTGTGAATGGGACATGTGGGAAAGACAGCTTTGTGGAGAGAAGGCCAAGTGTCTTCCCCAGACATCTGAGATGGAGGGGTTCAACCTGTTAATCCTCCCAGAACTAAAGCAGGAGAGATAAGGGTGCTTTTTCCATGGAGGACTCTGTCCCTATTATTGGACCTGGCGGGACTGAAGATGTCTTAATGCTATATGGCATTCCTCTAGGTTCAGGCTGGTTTCTTGTCTAATGGCCACTTGTTCCATCTGTATTGATTTTTCTGGATTTATCCTCTGCAGGATGAGAAACACTGATTGAAAGTTTTTGGTGGGTTGGAATTGTTTTGTTTTGTGTTTTTTCTTTTGGCAATTTTTCATTAAAGCCCCAGAGGCCTACGAGCACATGGCATCAAGGAAAAGATGATGGTGAGAAACAGAAGAGGAGTCTACTAAAGAACGCTGGGAGAAAGAAGCTGCAGATAACTGAGCCCCTTTCCCTCCTTCTCATCTGCCCTACTGACTGAAATCAAGCAGGAGCTCTAAGCTCAACCAGCTTTGCCTGCTGTTGGAAAACTGCTGGCAGAGTGAGGACTCATTCCTGAGCGGTATGTGTGGTCAAAGTGCACTGCTGCAGCTGGTAGCATGAGTGCTGGCCCCCAGCTGCAGCTGGCTGTCCTCTGGCCTTGGCTGCTAATGGCCACCCTTCAGGTAGGACTTGGTCATACAGGGCTGGCAGTCGCCGCAGCAGTGGAGTCAGAGAGATCAGCAGCTCAGAAGGCAATCATTAGGGTGATCCCCTTAAAAGTGGAACCAATCACATTGGAAGGAGTGTTTGCTAATGTTGCTGAGGTTACTCCAGCTGAAGGAAAACTGCTGCAGGTAAGAGAAGCTTTTTAATCCAGTTTCATTCCTTTTATACTACCTGTGCCCTGCTTAGCCTATCTTCTCTCCCCTCTTTGCTGCTTCAGTCGTTCCTGAAGTGAAATAGTTCTTATTTCCCCAATGCACATTATAACCAGGGGATCAGTGTATTTCCCTTTATGAGTTGCCTATTTTTTTGTATTGTATTATAGTGTCTTACTGCTCTTTAACCTTGCACACTGGATAATTTATTTTATGACTGTTTCTTCATCCTGTCATCAATTACACTCGCACTTTTATTGGTGTTGACTTTACGGACACATTTAGTTGATCCCATGAGGATTATTACTTTATATCGTAGTTGGTGATACAGTACAAACTCAAATAAGCTACTTGCTTGTCAGCATGTATGGGCTTTCTCCCACAATCCTGATTGCTCAAGGATACAGCTGGATTGTGCCCTCCAGAATTGCTGGCTGTACTAGTTCTATTCCTGTGTGTTAGCTCAGGCAGAGAGGTAAATTATCCTCCAATCACAGGTTCCCACATTATCACTACCTTATCTGTTGTTAGAGATTTGATATTGATTTTACTTATATCTTTAGAAAGAAAAAGGAGGGCCTCTGACAGTCTGTTGCCTGCTGCAGATAGTGATTTTTGAGGAGAGTTGTATTGATCAATGAACAAGCTTATCATACACATAAGGTATCTGTAGAATTCAGTTAGTTTCTGTGTATAAGGCATGCTGCTCTGTTAGTGCCGTGTGTTTCATCTGTCAGTGACTGTTTTTGCATAGCTCTTGCACAACAGAACTCATTCAAGAATCAGATATTATAAAACACATGAAGAAAGATTTTTTCCTTGTAATTTAAAATTCTGAAAATCCTATTACATTCTGTCAGTGGTGTTTTTCCAAATGTTACACTGACTATAAATTAAAATTAAAATAGTAAACAAATTGTGTATAGGTTTGGGAGAAATTAAATGTGTTTGCTCAAGCTAGGAAATATGGTCACCTGCTCACAAATCGGAAATCAGTTATTTGTGAAGCTTCATTTGGGTTTGTAGATCTTTCAGTTCCTTGGAAAGAAAGCACCATAGCAGTACAAAATAATTTCGGTAGTATAAAATGATATAATTTATATAAATAAAAGTATCCTTAACCCATACACTTGAGATGCAGTTCTCTTCTCATGCAATGCCCAGGAAACTCAGTATTTATTCCCTGCTAGAAACTACAGTTGTGCAAAATTCAGGTTGTACAGTTGAATATTGAAGTTGCAAACATTAAGTCATATTTTATAATATAGACTTTCTTTTGTTTAAAAAAGGAATAGGTGGGAAAGGACATTATCTTTGTCTTTCTGAAGTTTGAATATTTTAACATGGGGAAACTTTTAATTGGAATAGTTGTACTACATGAAGTGTGCAAGATACATTTTGAAGCTCTGCAGAATGAAATATTTTGTACTATATTAAAATATTAAGTATTGAGTGACTATGAGAGAATCTTACTCTTAAAAAAGGCCAGTCCATCAAGTGTATGCAAGCAGATACTGAACTATGGTGTATATATGATTTTAGCCCTTACTCCTACAACCGTTTGCACAAGTGAGTGTTTCCTATCCTTGAGAATCCCACCAAGCTAGTGGTGCTCCATCTTTTTCCAAAGGTCTATGCATGGATTTGACTCCAGGATTAAAAGCTGAGGTTAAAGTTTTTTGGGTGAAACTATAGCTTCATTTACAGGATGTTTGTACAGTGCCAGGTGCAGTGGTCCAGAAAAGCTTAGTCAAATTTACGTCTGACCTCATGCGTATATATTATAATATTCTAATTATGTCATCACATGCCAATATTCATAGTATATAATATGGTGCTACTTCAATAGTATTTTAGGCCTGATCTTGCTATAGGATCCATGTGCTTGAGTTCCTTATGAGAAAAAAATACAGTGGCATGTTATACAGCTAAGAAAAATACATTTCCTTTAAAAGGGCTTAAGTGTTTAAAGAAATATAAAATAAGGTAAGAAACTAATTAGATAAGCTTAATATAAGTTCACATTTAAACATAATTGTACATGTAGCTTAATTCTGGTTTATTGGAACTTCTCATTTTACAGGTAATTGCCAATTTCTGATCTTGCTAAGATTTTTGGGCATATACTGAACTTTGACTTCAGTGAGGCTATTAATGTACATAAAGTTAAGCATAAAGAATAAGGCCTCTATGTATTGTTTAGGTGCTAAACAAAACATTATTTTGTGTTTCTCTCAGCTTGCAGTTTTCCTCCAGTTTTAGAATTGAATTTGTGTATGTCCAGGCCTTTCTGAAAATAATGTTTTAGCTGTATTCAGTTTTGTAACAGTCTTATTTGAAGAAATGAAGTAAAATGGAGGGCTGAATACTAAAAATGAAAACATTTGAAAATAAAAACTGACACTGTTAATACTATTATGCAGGAAGTAGTTTTAGAACTTAATCTAGGAATAAGATGTCTTCAGGACAGATCCTGAAGCCCTTTCTCCCATAAGTAGTACCTTTGATTTCTGCATGTGTTTGACTACTCCCTGTGTTGAGGTTGTATAATTAGATTGTATTAAAAGAACATTTTTTTAGCTGTAGTACATACATGTTGGCCAAAATAATTACTTAGAAATATATGATGATCTTTTATAAGGATGACACAAAAGAATGACGCAAAGAATTGTCTCATTTAAAATGCAGGTATTACTGACTTACTGCTAGTATTTTCTTATTTTCAGTTGTGAGTTATGTCCATTATGTTCTCTAGGTGAAATTACAAAAATTAACACTAATCATAACATATAAAAAATTAGAATATGATATTATTTTTAACAAATCTCCCAAAATAGAGGTTAAACTGAACCTCATCCCATCCCCAGAATTAACTGCTAACTGCACTTACAATCAGCCCATTTCCTTAGCCCAGAAAAGGCCTGGGAAAGCACTGTATTTGGTAGCATGTTGTGAAGGTCACCAAATCCAGGCTGTCAAGGACCAGGGTGGGGTATAAAGGGGTGGACAAATTCCAAATCTGTCAGTTACTACTTTTACCCCTTTTCAGTTAACTTGGCGGCTGTTAGCTGTAGAACCCCAGATTGTCATAATAACATTCCTTAATAGGGAAAGCAACAACATTCTGCACTACTTCAGATTTCTAAATCATTTGAAGGCATAAGCTATGCAGAGCATATCACAATAATGTATCTTTTAGGTTGGATCAATTGAATAATTACAGAAAGGACTCCCGCCTTAGGGCCCATGGCTTGTGTGCCACTTACCAGCTCCTAGTCAGGATACAGGTCTTTGCTGAATTGAGTCTCAGATTGTTAGGCCTGTTACCCATGCCTCTGATTACATTTGACATTAGTGAATCATTGCATTTCACTGCTGTGTTTTGAACAGACATAGTATTACTCAGAAGGAAAGGGAATTAGCTACTCCAGAGTAACTCTGGTTATCTCTTTAAGGTCTTGAGACCAAGAGATTTATACATAACACACTTGAACTTGTATTATAACACTATAAAAAAGTTATTATATGATCACCTAATTAAATAAATGTGTTTTTGTAAAGTATCTGTGAAAAAGTTTGCAATTAAAATTAAGCATTGATATATTCTTGAGTTGGAGTACAATTGGAGTATAATTCTCCAACCTTCTTCTTCATACAGAAGTAGGCCAGTGATATTACTGTTGTATATGGAACTAGGGAGATGATTGCTGAGAGATGGGAAAGGGTACAAAAGAAAATGAGTCAAAATCTGGAAAATCTGCTGGAGGAAGACTGAAGTGTAATCTACCTAATTTAGAGAAAATTAAGAGGCAACTGATCATGCTCTACACTTCCATGTAGAGAGTATTTCAGGTAGTCAAAGGCTCTTGTAATTTAGCAGGGAAAGGTATCAGAAGCTGTGTCAATTCACTTAGTATGTACTGCATTTTTCCATAAAACTCATGCATTTCCAAATTCTAGTTGTTGAGATTTTCAGTGTGTGCGTCTACATGTGATATTAATGCAACACTATACACTCTGGAGCAGTTCACACCAGAGTCAACTGCTCCTGGGCACAGCATCTACACAATTTGCTGGGGCAAAGCAGGCCCCTGGCTGCATGGGCTGACCAGGCGCAATGTACATCTGTGGTGGAGTACTATCCTATGGCGGAGTTGTTTAGTTTACTGTGCTCTAATTCTGGTGCACGTGTAGATGGTGATGCTGTACTGCAGAGCTAATTACTCAGATCCACAGTAGAGCCCATGTGTTAAATGTACCCAGTTTTCATTAAAAGAAAAGGCTCCTAGATCTTGCTGGAAAAAGCTGGAAAAACCTGAGGCAACGTACCCCAAAACACAGAAGTCAGTGGAAAAAAAGAAGCAATTCTATTAACTGTCTTCTAAATTCATCTTATGGCTTTTGATTTGGTGAGGTTCTGAATCATGATTAGGAAAAAATGTTGGAATACAGAGCATGATAAATGTGTACCTGAAGCTAGATGAATTCAGAGAAGTAATATGGTGCAAATGTTTAGCAGTGAGGGTAACTGTTGGAACAAATAACTTACAAATCTGATGGATCCAATCTCACCACAGAATAGAAACCTTAGAAATGGACAGGGTTCCTAATGTAGGAGCATGTAGTGTTGTTGAGAGAAGTCCACTCAGTTGAATGTGTAAGGATTCAGATCATAAATTGTAAGAATGTTAACATATCAATAATTAATTAAAATTAATAATAGCCTTTAGAGTTTAGATAAAGCAAAATTATATCAAGCGTGCAATGTTGAGAGATGTCAATGAGGCAGGGAAGTCTAATAGAATGATAGTAGAGGTTCAGCTACTCACAGATACATTGACAAGTAGCACAGTGAGACTAATCTGAAAGACACAATTTTTGTTTTGTATTACAGCTGATGCTAGAGCCCACAAGAAATGAAGCTACGCTTGAATATTAGTGATATAGAAGAGCTAATTCAAGAATTAACTGTAGTT